TTGTACTCAAGCAATAATTATGGAGTTATTGATTAGAATGTAGTTTTAAAATACTTTTTTAACAGATGTTGGAGATGTGGTTATAAGGAGGCTTCCTATTATCATATTTGGTGGTCATGTAGAGAGATAAAAGCATTTTGGATCAAAATATGGTGGAATATCCAGAGAATTTTTAGAAGGAGGGTAAAATTTACTCCGCAATTATTTTTGTTAGGTTTGTTACAGATTGTGATACAAAGGAGGTTGTATTGATGTTAAACTTGATCACAGCCGCGAGGCTGTTAATTGGATTGGAAGAAGGAATCTTTGCCTACATTGCAGGAATGGTTTTTTAAAGTAGCTTATCTGGCAGAAATGGCAAAGATTTCGGCTTTCTTAAAGCAACAAACGCAAGAGAAGTTTTTTGCTATCTGGGACAAATGGATAAAATTTATACAATTTAGTTTATACAAAAATATTATATAGCTTTTTCATAAGTTTTATTTTTATATATATTATAGATATCAAGCTTAAGCCTATATTCTGCTCTGGGAAGCTCAGGGGGGGGGAAGGGAGGGTTTTTGGGAGGGGTGTGGGGTGGGGGTTTTTTTTATATGTATTGTTTAATTTTTTTTTCTTTTGTATATGTATTGTTCTTGTTTTTTTTTGTAAAATTTATAAAACTTTTAATAAAAAAAAAAAAAAAAAAAAAAAAAAATAAGAAAACAAAATACTTTTTTAACAGAGCAATTTACTGCTGAATCTGACCGAACATAGCGTCTGCTTATTAAGAGAGGTGGACACATAAATGTTAATATTGTAAATGGAAGAAATCATTAACATTGTAGTAGTAAAGAAAAAACAAAAAGACATTCTGGATTTATTCTCCAGGTTATCAGATTCTGAAAGCAGTAATTGTCAGAAAAAAATAAGCACAGGACTAATCAAGGCTCAGAATACATATTTTGCCCCCTAAGGGACTGCTTAATTGTCTTCTTGGCACTCTCTAAGCTTGGTTGTTTTCATGGAGACATTTCATTATCCAACTAGATAATATCATCAATACTACAACAGAGTGGGGTTTGCTAGAAGAGAGTAGAGAGTGGCAATCCACATTCCCCCTTCTAGCACTGATGCTATTACCTAGTTGGATAATTAAATGTTTGCAAGAAAACAACCAACTCAGAGAGTGCCCAGGACTCTGGATATTCAAGTATTTTTTTTTAAAAAAAGAAAACATTTTCATGGCGTATTCATACATATGAAATTTCTTTATATGTGTAAATCATGCAGGCCCCTTCATTTCCTGAACTCCTGCAATTTTTTTAAGCACAAGAATGGGGAACTTGTTACATCTAGCTGTTGCTCAACTACAGCTCCTGGTCCCCGTTGCTGTGGCTGCTGGATGTCGTTGTTCAACAATATCAGGAGGACCAGGCACTCCAGATCTAGTTTAGCAATTCACAGGTTAAATATTTTTAACACTTTCCACGGGTGTTACCTGCACTTTTTAACTGTAAACAGTTATGACAATGGAATTGGTGGGTATTACAAAAGATGACTATTGATGTCTATTTGATTATATTAACAGAATATATTTTACATTATGTTGACATCACATCATTGTTGATGAATTCCCCTAATCTCTTATACTATCTGAGGGTATAAAGGTTATTCTAATCTTTTATGATTTCAGTGTTGTAAATCAGGGCTCTGCCACCATTGTTGCGTTTTCACTATTTCTGTATAGAAAAACTAATGTGAACTTTGGAAAAGATATAAATAAGCAAAGTTGCCTTGTCAGCTTTCTGCCTCATTTCTGGATCTTCATAGGCACAACTTTTTTGAATCTGAAACTCTCTGACCAAGCTAATAACTGGTTTCATAAATATAATTTTATGACACTACCATTGAATTTTCCATATCCCTTGCCATTCTGCAGTAATATACAATTCTGAAAATATTTATTTTGTTCAAAAGACCTCAAATAAAAATTTTTTAAAAAATTGTTCTTTCCACAGTGGCCACTCATGCATTTTTACAGTATTTTCCATAACAGAATAAATTACCATCAAACAGATTGTATATTGATTCATATTCCTTACGTTTTAATAATTTCTCCTTTTAGAAAACTTTGGGTGTTTCGACCTGCTTTGCAGCTGACAATTTTTGATTTTTCTTGTCTTTTCTTGTCCTTTTTTCCCTTTGTAAAATAACACCTGGGCATATCTTTAACCACTTGTCTTGGGAGAAGGGAACTGTAAAACCTCTGGATTTAATAGGCATTCCACATACCATCTGAACTAACAAATGCTATACAAAACAACACAGCAGGCATTAGAAAATGTATTACTCTATCAGTCATGCTGTGACACAGTTTGCAGTACACTGCAGTGTATTTGAACATGTAGCTTTCTTGCTTAAATTTTCTATCCTGACAAATACTTGTTTTTGATGTGTATTTATTGAAAGTGATATGTTGAAGAGAAAGAGCAAAATCCAGTAGAAGGTTCTGCCTAAAAGCAGTATGATAGACTGTCTATATTAATCTGTTAAAAAGGCATTAAAATATAATGGTGAAAACTGTGTGGTTCAGCCTGGCAAACTGGGAATATCCTCACAGCAGATGCTATATAAGCATGCTGCACAATCCTTCTGTTTCTACCATTGTAATTCTGAATGGTTGCTAAACAAATGGTTATAAGTTGAGGACTACCTGTACAATGTTTTTAATTGTCCTAAAGAAAAGAAGATACTGTTCAAGTTGTCTGAACAAGTGGAAGAGAAATACTTCATGGTTCCTGGAGTAAGGGAAGACATCTAGGATCTAAAACAATGGTTCTCAACCTGTGGGCCGGGACCCCATTTGGGGTCGAACGACCATTTCACGGGGGTCGCCAAACAACGCAGTCCGCCATTTTTTTCCCCTTTTCCTTAGCTGTGCTACTCCCTTTTAGTCTATTGGCTTTTGAAAGCCAATAGAATAGACTCTCTTGAATAGAGTCTAATTCTATTGGCTTTCAAAAGCCAATAGGAATTGTCCAGGCTGTCTCTGCCCTGCTGAGCCTGCCAAAAGTCCCATTCTGCAAATGGTGCTGCACCAATTGAGTAGTCCTCAACTTACGACCGGTTGAGTAGTCCTCGACTTACGTCCGGTTGGGGGTCGCGGCATTAAAACGGTTGAGAACCACTGATCTAAAATAAATCTCCACTGACATGCATGCATATGCCTCCATATATAATTACCATTTACAACTATCAGAATTCTAATGTAATATATCACTGATACAAGCCTCATTTCTGAGGACACTCATTTCTATTTTATAAGTTACTTCTAATGGGTAGCTTCAGTGTAGATAGAAAAATCCTTCATTGTCCAATCATCCCAGAAGTTATTTTTTTGCAATTTTATGCTACTACAACTTTAAAGGCTGAGAACTCTTAACAAGCAAAAAGCTTCCTCTTATTGGGGTTAAGTAATACCTGACCTTATAAATATCAGGAATCTAGCAAGATAAAGGGAAGTTTGTACAATGGGTACCACTAGACATTCCTCCCCTATCAAAGGCTTTCAGTTATGTTCAGCTCAGAATAAAGCAAGTCGGGGCACTCAAAGAATAAAGCTTATCACTAATTTAAAGAGGGTGGATGGGAAAATGAAAACACAACATGCTCATTTCATACCCATACAGAAATGGTCGTACCCAAAACACAACTCCCTCAAAACATGAAGGACTCTTGAAATAGGAAAAACCAAATTTTAAACCTACATTAACTTTAGCTAAACTGCTCACTGCTTTGTTTCTTGGTGACACATTTAACTGATGGCACAATAGTGTTATGCCAATAACCTATTTATATAACCTGACAAGTTCTTCTGGGCTGAAGGCCATCACTTTTTTGTCCCAAACCATTCCTTTTAGGAAAAGAAGCACAGCAAGACATAAAGAGATTCCAGCTACAATTTACTTATTCATTGGGTTTATATGTTCCTTCAATCCCTAGATTCTAAGCAGACAACAACAGAACCAATGAAGGAGAATATTCGTAACTGGGAGTTGATCTGGGGGGTCCTTGGTACTCTCTGAACCGTGATGGCGCAGTGGTTAGATTGTAGTATTGCAGGCTAATTCTGCTGACTGCCGACTGCTTGCAATTCGTGCCTCACCGGCTCAAGGTTGACTCAGCCGTCCAGCCTTCCGAGGTCAGTAAAATGAAGACCCAGATTGTTGGTGGCAATAGGCTGACTCTGTAAACCACTTAAGAGAGGGTTGTAAAGCACTGCGAAGTGGCATATAAGTCTAAGTGCTATTGCTATTGCTCTGAGCTTGGTTGTTTTCTTGCAGACATTTCATTACCCAACTAGCTAACATAATCAGGCCTAGTAGGGAGTAGAGTAGCATTGATGATATTACCTGGTTTGGGTAATGAAACATCTAAAAGAAACAACCAAATTCAGAGAGCACCAGGACCCCTCAGAAAACAACAGTGGCACAATAAATAGGTTGGAAATATCCCAAACAATAGGTTTGAAATATCCCAAAAGACCTACATTTCTATTATAGACAAACGCAACACTGCATTTGCCATTCTATATCCCAGGTGCAGCCTTCATCATCTCCTCACTCTTAATTTTTGAAGGCGCTGCTAAGATTAAATCTTAACTGTGTTCCAAAATGACACCAGAAGCATGGCCAACTTTGCTGACAGAACTAAATCTGATGGTAGTTGGGAGAGGAACTCACACAAAATCTAAGACATGGACCCAAGCACATTTTGTTTTTACTGATCCAGAAACAGAGATGGAATCCTCTGTTTTTCCAGGATGCAGAACTGGAAGTAGTCATTTAGGCCAGCCAGTCCACCGTTCTGCTTAGCACAGGAATTCAAATTATAATGAATTTGGGAAGAATGTTCCACTGTGTAGTTAGCTCTTCTCACTGAATCAATATAACCTGTAGAAACACATCAGTGATGTGAAAGTACATTTTGCTGATACGATCTGAAACCCAAATACTTACCAGCCTTGTTTGGTGAAAGAAAAACTAACATCACAAGAACAGGAACAATCATAAGTCCATTTATCATTGTAGATCTAAAAAAAGAGGGAAAAGATTCTTGTTTTAAAAATAAAATCACAACTAAACATATTCTAATGTACCAATTATATTTGATAGTTCTGCACTGTTCAACAAGCGCGAGCACTTTTCCATCCACATTTAATAATCGCTTGAGTAACGTGGTGAGTTTGTAAGAGGCTAGATTCTGCAATGGCAAAAAATACAACCTTATAAGAGCAGCCCAATGTCTACAGAATAATGCATTCACAAGTATGACTCTCAAATTTGAGACTGTGGGCTTTCCAAAGCCATTCAAACAAGCAGTTAATATAAACAGAGGCGTGGATAGACTATTTGTGTGCCTTTAGTTAGTGTTGACTCCTGGGACTGTCTAGCAAGCCTCTGCAGTTTTATTGGCAAAATTTTGAAGGTGGTTGCCATTGCCTTCCTCCTAGGGCTGAGTGAGAGTGACTGGCCCACTCAATCCTACCTACGGTAGCACTAGAAGAGTTTCTAGCCTGGTATCTTAACTATTACACCAAACTGACTCCTATGGACAGGTATAGTGTGTAATATTTGGACTCCAAAGCAGAGGCAGATATTTTGACCAATACAAAAAAAAATATATATATATAAAAATCCAAAGCCAGACCTAAAGTATTGTATTCAATATCAAAGGAGGAGAGATCTTAACCAACAGAAATATTATTGTTCAAAGGCTGTTGCTAACACTAATCTTACAGGTGTGAGTTCTGCATGTTTCTTACCAGACCAGTGGTTCTCAACCTGTGGGTCGGGACCCCATTTGGGGTCGAACGACCATTTCACGGGGGTCGCCAAACAACGCAGTCTGCCATTTTCTTTTCCCCTTTTCCTTAGCTGTGCTACTCCCTTTTATTCTATTGGCTTTTGAAAGCCAATAGAATAGACTCTCTTGAATGGAGTCTAATTCTATTGGCTTTCAAAAGCCAATAGGAATTGTCCAGGCTGTCTCTGCCCTGCTGAGCCCGCCAAAAGTCCCATTCTGCAAACGGTGCTGCACCAGTTGAGTAGTCCTCGACTTACGACCAGTTGAGTAGTCCTCAGCTTACGACCGGTTGGGGGTCGTGGCATTAAAAAGGTTGAGAACCACTGTACCAGACTAACTTTATCTTTAGAAAATCACACACCAGCAAACAAAACTGTGAGTACTAGATGGGGAAGGGACAAAAGGAAGGGAAAACCACATTACCAAATTCCAAGTGTGCAATAGGAGATTTAGTTCATGGATGCTTTGGGCTACATGTACTCAAGCTAATTATACGGCATTTGAATATTTTGCTGAAATGCTACATATATGATTATCGGTATAAAACAAAATGTACGCTATCTAACGGTAGCCTTTATGCACCCAGCAAAATACAAACCAGGTCTTGAGTGCTAGACCTTGCAGGAGCAAAAGCAAAAGGAAAGAACAATTTGCAGCCTTAGCCTGCCAAAAACACAGATTTTGTATCAGGAAACCTATCAGGAAACTATCCTATTGATCAAGACAAGCTGTTTAAATGATACCCTTAGGGAGGCAAATGTCAAGCACTTCTTGATATATAATGCTTAAGAAGAAATAGAGCCCAGCTCGCTACTACACTAAATTGTCTAGCATAAGCCAACAAACTGTTTAGGCAGTTGAAGTCCTGCCAAGATACTTTTGGAAGGGATGTTAATATTTTTTGCGGCTGCCATTTTGCTCAGAGAATGTAGGATATGCTGCTGGCCTGTATATTCTAGCAAGTCAGAAATAGACCTTAACAGAAAGCCTGTTAATTTTGAAAACACACATCAACTCCACAAACAGATGCCAAGAACGTTAGCCAAGAAGTCAAGTTTCACTGCTGCCTTTCACCTAGATAAACATGAAACAACCGAAGGATGATTATTAAGCAAAAAAAAAAAAAAAAAAAAAAGATCATCAAAGCCCAGAAAACACAACCCTCTGGGTCACTGAAAACTGAGCCATCTTGTGAGGGGAAGAAGATGACTTAGGGAGCAGTGGAATGAAGAAATGGCTTGAATCCAAGACATGCTTTATCGACCTTGGGTTGGCAAGTCTCATTTGCTGGATAGATGCACTGAGACATTCTGGAAGGATAATACATTGGGGTTTCAATGTGCTTAAGAATGTAGTGTTTCTTCCTTAAATTCCACAAGAATCTCCCGCCAAGTTCTCCAATGTTTTTAGCACACCTTGGAGGTTTGGAGGCTTCTATGGCCACAGAAGGAATACTGTCAGACTGCCTATGACTCCCAAGCTATTCCTTATAGGGCAATTCTGTCCTATTTTGTTTTCCACTTCATGTTATATTTTCCTCTAACCCAGAGGTCCCCAATCTTTTGGGCACCAGGGACTGGTTACGTGGAGAGGTTTTTCTGCAGACCAGAGGGGGCGTGGTTATGTGTACTGTCTGTGAATGGGGCTTTCCTTGTTTATGCGGACCAGTTGCTGGCATGCTGCGGCCTAGTACTGGTCCACGGACCGGGGGTTGGGGACCCCTGTTCTAACCTGTATGCCAACAGCATTATCTAAACCACTATCAACATAATTACCATATATAACTCCTAAAGTTGTTGAAAGAACATTACTACCCGGTTAAGATAACCCAAAGTAGATGCTAAACTGCACCGTGTGGAAGTTTTTAAGAAGAGACTGGACAACCATTTGTCTGAAATGGTATAGTGTTCCCTGCCTGAGCAGGGGGTTGGACTAGAAGACCTCCAAGGTCCCTTCCAACTCTATTATTATTGTTGTTATTGTTATTAACCACTCACACAATCTTGGTTTTATTATGTGGATTAATTGTTTTAATTGATTTTTATATTTGATTTTAAGGGTTGGTTTTGTTATATGCCACCCAGAGTCACCTTGTGTGAGATGGACAGCAATGTACATTTGATAAAATAAGCTGACAATGTATTGAAATGTTATGTACCCAACATGTCCTTTTGGAGGAAAAAAAAGAATAGTATCTACACAGATCTAACATCACCATTATCATCATCTCCCCTCAGCAAAACTTACAGATCATCTACAGCATCACCCGAAATGCTAATATCCAGGGTTTTTTTCTGTGTATATTTCCTCTAGTGTTTTAAATTCTAGTACAATTCTTAACTCAATTGAAGAATAACAATAACAACAATGACAATAATAGTTGCATCAGGAAGAGATGCTGGGCCTAGCATTTTGGTCATGACTAGAAGGCACTTATGAGCTAAACATACCCATTGTTGTGTTGTTAAGGAGCAGTGGTCTCCAAATACCCATGCTCCACAATACATCACTACTAGATACAATTTTGATTAAATTTATGTAGAATTACTAATCCACTATTCTTTCAATATTTGTATTTTTTTGTATGCAGTTTTTTTTGCAAAGGCAATATTTCCTAGATTAAATTTAATTGCTATTAATTGCTGTATTACCTATTAATTGCTCTTTTATCTACATTAGAAAGGCAATCCAGACAGCCCAGTAAGCAAGCCACACTACTTTTGCCAAACAGAACACCATTTTTTTAAATAAAAAATGGCGTTGTTTACTTGTTTTAGTGGGTCATATAATTACACTAAGCAAATGCAAAGGTTCTAGAGCTATCCAAACATTTTTAACACTTTACAGACTAGTCAAATGAATTTTAATATAAACTGTTATGGATTAAAAGTGTCCTTGATCTGAACTTTCTGAGTTTCCTGTAAAGCTGTCCATTTATTTTGCATTGCTAATGACATCTATACTGGATACAGCCAGACCATTAGGCAATGCAAAATCTAGCCCACAAAAGGCTATGTCATCTTTAAGGTGCCACTAGGCTTTTTGCTCCCTTTTACAGCACTGCTAATCAGACCTTTTGCAATGATGAGCAAGAACAGTATGAAATTGCTGCTCTCAAAAGCCCTTTGCAAATGGCTACAGAATAACTTCCGTAGATGGACTTACCAGAGAGAAAATATCCACATAACATTCATCTGCTTCATCGTTTATCACTGAGAATAATCAAAATGTACAGCTTATTATTATAAAAACCCATTCTGCATATTTAAGATGAAGCAATTAACATTCATTTAACACTGTCTTTAAAAAGTGATATGAGTTAATGCTTGTTCTAAAAAACAAACCCTCTGTGTATTTTGTTTTTCATTCCATGTATGACATGAATCACAATGTCATACGAATGAAGATTTTTTTTTTAAAAAAAATAAGTGATTACTAAAATGTGAAGCAAGACTTTTGTTTAATTATATTGTCTTTTTGCAAAATATGAGATATATTGACAGAATCCATTACTCTAAAGATATTGCTGTTACAAGACAATGAATGAATTATCCCCTTAATAATTATGCTTAATACATCATTATTTAAAATATAATACTTAATAAACATAAGAACACTAGATGATGCCTGTATCTTTGATTTTAAGGGCTGCTGGTCTATTCACTAAGTCTGTGGAAGAGAACCTCTCCCCAGAAAAATCTTACAGGCTTCTGAAATGTTCTCATGTTACAAATCACTTGTCTGCCATGGTTCAAGACCCCTGCATGCTTGTGAGTTTATGGGTAACTATAGATAGTCAAAAAAGCTAACTGACACTTACCCCAAGAATGTACACAGGCATAGGTAACTTGCAATATTTAAGCCAACATTGTGAGTACATTAGCTAGAGCATTCCTCAATCTGGTGCCTTTACTACCTTGGGACCTTGGGATGGTCACAGCTGTGACCCAACATGTCAAGACAACACCAGGTCAGGGAAAGCTATTTTAGTGCAACAAAGGAAATGTCACAACAATGCATTCCTGCCTTACGAGGACAGAAAGGAGATGAGGACAGAAAGGAGATGCTTCCTTGGACAAAGGAGCAGGAAAATTTGATAGTTTCTAATCAATTCTATTTCCAGATAGGCTTCAGTTCAATTCTGGCAAGGCTGTAATAGGAAAGTACAATACAACTGGATACTCAGGAAAACCAACTGAAGAGGAGGAAACAAAAATTTAGATGTTT